ATGCCCTGTGGCTGCTTATAAGTCCGTGGGTGCTGTCAGAGAGAACGATTAGAGAGAAGGGTGTTCGTGAAATTCTTCAACACATTTAAGTCAACGTTACATGGGATTTACACAACTGTCAGTGAGGGAAGATTTGATCTGGGTGAAAACAACGTCCTGACATCAGAACCGAGAGGATTCTAGTGCTACTGAAAGGATTGAGGCTTTATTTCTGTTTTCTTACCCTGCTTGCAGTGGATTTTTGTAGTATCAGTCTGTGTGGCCTCATTTCAGGAAGGTTGTGACTGACGAGGGAAGGTGCGTATTTCAGTTCTCTGTTTTCTTTCATTTAGAGGGAGCCGGGATCCCGAAGGCCGTAATTTCACATTGATTGCATAGTGCTCTCACACTATTGCTCATTATGGGCACTCCAGTTCTTTTGCTTTCACACCACATTAAGGCCTGGGTTATTTATTTATTTATTTACAATTATTTTCTATCAATTCTGAATGGGTTTTTGTGGTTGGATTGATTGATATTTTACATTTTAATACTTGAAAAATACCACACAGGAAGTTGTGACTGCACAAGAACAGTTTGGTGACTCAAATGGGTCATTTAATCAGAGGTTAACTGAAGCATGCTGTTTGTAATGATTCATAGAAATGATTTGAACTAACAGACTCTGATATATATGAATGACTACCATCATCCTAGAATTAAAGTACCATAGTATGAGTATCTAGTACCATCTCTATACTATAGTACCACCACAGTACTTTTTTAAGGGGAAGCATAGGCTTTTTAGGGTATTTATTCTGTGAAATGGGCTTTGACTGGTCTAAACACAGAAAATGCAAAATTTAAGAGTGTTTTGATTGCACGGAAGTGTGATTGCAGGTTGACTATGTAGAAAACACAGTGTTAGCATGCTGGATAATCTGTGTTGGTGAGCTTTGCGGAGCTTTGTCCCAGTATTACACACTAAACTACAGATAGCACGGGTGAAAATCACATGTAAGTGGGTCAGTTCGCAATGACACTTCCTCTAACCCTCCCTTCCTCTATCTGCATAGATTTCACACTCAAACTGTTGGGTAGCTGCAGTGCTAATCATGCTAAGGATAAAAAAAGTGCAGTAGGTTAGTGTGCAGATAGGAATAATGCTGTGTAGTATGTGACCTGTGTCTGTCCATCTGCTTGCTAAACACAGACGCTCTGCACAGCTGTGCTATCAGTGCATTGGATGGAGCAGGTGGTGTTAGCGATTAAATGAGCGTCTAGTGCAGTTTATTTCATTGTGTGATATAATGCATTGGCCTGCCAGGTGTGTGTGTGTGCGAGTGTTCATAGAAGTGATGAATAAAATTAGTGAATGGATAAAATGAGTGAATGGAAGGCAAATCGAATAATGAGGATGTTGTACATCTCGAGTAGCATACTTCAGATACGCTCTAAGTGTATGTAGCTACTTCTCAGGTGAAGGGAAAGTATCCTTTTGGTTGAGTAGTAGTATGACACTATATGTAAGCAAATTCGTGATATCTTAATATGTGACCCTGGACCACAAAACCAGTCTTAAGTAGCACGGGTATATTTGTAGCAATAGCCAAAAATACATTGTATGGGTCAAAATTATTGATTTTTCTTTTATGCCAAAAACCATCAGGATATTAAGTAAAGATCATGTTCCATGAAGATATTTTATAAATTTCCTACTGTAAATATTAAAACGTAAGTTGTGATTAGTAATATGCATTGCTAAGAACTTCATATGAACAATTTTAAAGGTGATTTTCTCAATATTTAGATTTTTTTTGTACCCTCAGATTCCAGATTTTTTATCTCAGTCAAATATTGTCCTATCCTAACAAACCATACATCAATGGAAAGCTTATTTATTCAGCTTTCAGATGATGTATAAATCTCAATTTCGAAAAATGTACTCTTATGACTGGTTTTGTGGTCCAGGGTCACATATATCAGTGTTAACTTAGTATCATTGAGATATTGTTTTAGTTTTTATTAATATTTTGAGTAATAAAAGTTTCTTTTTTTTGTATTTTCCGTTTTCATTTTAATTGTGGTGATTTGTGTTTTGTCATTTTTATTAGTATTATATTTAAAATGTCAAAATGTAATTAATTTCTATTTCAGTTTTCATTATTTAGTACATAAAGTTAAATTAAATGAAAATGGGAAATGACTGAAATAAAATAAGTTTAATTTTTTTTCTGAGATATTTTATATTATTTTAATTAAATATTAAATAATTTATATTATTTTACTATTTATTTATTTAGGTGTTATATATGTGTGTGTGTGTATATGTGTGTGTGTAGCTAATCTAACTTATTTGGTTGGAACTTGTGATATTGACTAATGCTGACTGTATATTGTCATGAATATTAGGTTTCTACATTTCAAAACACACGTTCCTGTTCCTCTCACACGATCCCAAACACAAACAGGCATCTGCTGCACTTGATTTGTGAATGGTGCACGACTGTGTCAGGCTGCTGTTGAATAATGCATCAGGAACACGGCGGCCATAGTAAAACCCCTGAGCAGAGCCCAGGGGACGCGGGAGAGACGATCATTAATCAGTCAGTACATGTACACACTCAAAAACAGCTCTCAGATCGCTCCAGACCCTTGAACAGCACACTAAAGATCACAGCACCCTGCAGAAATACAGATAGCTGCTGTTGAACTGTGGTGTTCTTGTCGCTAGCTAGTGCACTAGCTTCATATCCAGGTCATAAGAACGTTCAGCATGTTTAGGTTTGATGTGGTATTTGTTGTGATTTGATATGTGCATTTAATGCTCAGAAGCTGCTCTTTCATAGCTCAGGAAACATAACAGATTTCTCAGTTTCATTTCGAGTATCAGCATTCTCCTAAAATTCCTACTGAGAAATAAAAAAATGTATAATTATTGACATACAATAATAGTTTAGAACTGTAGTAAAAAAAATGAATGTGGATAGTATAGCTCAGATTATTTGAGAAGAATATGATGAGAGATGTTTGAGTTCACAATGGGACTTTGTTCATATTATTTAATATGAGAATTTTTTTTTGAGTGCATATTGAGACTTTGCTCAGATTATTTGATGAGAAACGTTTGAGTTTAGCTCAGATTATTTGAGAAGAATATGATGAGAGATGTTTGAGTTCACAATGGGACTTTGTTCATATTATTTAATATGAGAAAATTTTTTTGAGTGCATATTGAGACTTTGCTCAGATTATTTGATGAGAAACGTTTGAGTTCGTACTGAGATTTTGCTCAGATTTGCAAATTTGATGACAAAAATGTGGGTTCATTTTGAGATTGCTCATTAATCGTTGAATTCATGTTGAGACTGCTCAGATGAATTGATTTGAGAAGAATTCCATGAGAAATATTTGAGTTCATATTGAGACTTTGCTGCGGTTAATTTATTTGAGAAGAATTCGGTGAGAAATTGTTCATGTTGAGCCTTTGCTAAAATAATTTGATTTGAGAAGGATTTATTGTGAATTGTTTGAGACTGCTCAGATTATTTGACTGCAGAAGAATTTAATGAGAAATGTTTGAGGTTATATTGAGATTTAGCTCAGATGAATTAAATTAAGAAATTGATGAGAAATGTTTGTTCATAAAATTTCGCTCATATTTGTTTTCAAAATAATTTGATGTGAAACTTTGGTCATTTTTGTATTGACTTTTGGAAACTCTAGGAAACATGTCATGTACTGTTGTGTAGGAGAAGCAATTAGAAATATATAATAATAATAATAAAAGAAATACAAAATTTATGATGCTTTTTTGGGAGAATGGAAGCTTTTGTTGTGGCAGAAAGTTTGTGTAATACACATTTGTGGATTAGATGGTTAATTGTTAGACCACAGATGTTCCCTTGTTACAGCTTCTTCCATGTGCTTATCAATGAAATACAACCACAAACCCAAGTCATATGGACACAGATAGGGGAGCAGTGGATGGATTGTATCTTTTCAAGGCTCTAAACTTTACCCTTCAGTATAGATGCAGTTTTTCCTCCTGCATCTCTCTGGGCCTCTTATTCCCTCTGAAGATGAAACTCATATGCCGGGGACACTGGTGTCATTTGTCTTTTCCGACACATACAGCCAGCACTGTTGTAACCACATTAGCGGCAGGTTATTTTTGTAAAAACAGCATGTGTTTTAAAATGAGATGTTGCTTGTTTTTAAAAGAAATTGCAGTGAGCAGTTAGATGCTGCTGTTTTATTACAAGATTTTGATGCTGATTTTGAAAGATCGAATATTGATTATAGTCTATGTAATGACGATGTGAAAGCTTGTTTACAAACCATTTTTCTAATATAATCCAAAGTATTACAAGAAACGGCATACTGAACTAGAAAAAAAAAATTAGGATGGGACTTGATTTATCCATCAGGAATTGATTGGATATTGAAAATGTATGGTCTTTTTTAAAGGTTTATCAAAAAAACTAATTTGAAAAACTTATTCTTCACACTAGAAATTGTGGATCATTCATCATTATTTACTCATCTTCATATTTTTCCAAACCTGTATGAGTTTTTCTTCTTCTGTTGAACACAAAAGAAAGAAGATATTTTGAAGAATGCTGGTTAACCAAATTGTTTCTGGTTGCCATTGACTTCCAAGTTCCATAGTATTTCCCCCCCTACTATGATAGTCAATGGTTACCAGCAACTGTTTGGTTACCAACTTTCTTCAAAATATTTAATTTCGTGTTCAACAGAAGAAAGAAGCTTGTGCAGGTTGGAACAACTTGAAGGTGAGAAAATAAAAGTAAAATGTTCATTATTGGGTTTATTATCCCTTTAAACCTAGGTAAAGTATGAGCAATTTGAAACATTAAACAAGATACCAGGATTTTGAATGACCCAGGATTAACCATTTCAAGTGTGAAAAGCCCTAAGGTCAATTTTATTCATTGTTGTGTTCCGAAATGTGTCTGCAATTCCTATAGCAATGTTTGCTCTTTTTTTCTGACTGACAGGAAAAGAAGCCCATCAGCAACCAGGGATCCGAACCAAAAATACGACCAAAGGGAGGAGAAGGCAGAGCGTTCGCAGTATGCCCCAGGGGTGGGCGGCATGCCACGATCGCCGTCTGACTACGGGGCCGGAGACCGCCAATGGCGGGGAGGCTACGGCCGTTCCTACGAGGACGCAGAGGTAGCGCGGAGTGCATACCGTGCTCGACGGGGCGGCTGGCACTCTCAGGAAGAGTATCCACCTGAACCCGGCTTCCTGCCCGATGGCCCGCCTCTCAGCGAGCACGAGCTTCAGCGGCAACGGCAGGAGGAGTACCAGAACCGCTACCGCAGTGACCCAAACCTGGCCCGCTACCCAGTCAAACCACAACCTTACGAGGAACAGATGCGCATGCATGCGGAGGTTTCGCGATTCAGGCACGAACGGCGCCACAGTGATGTCTCCCTGGCGTACACGGAGATGGAGGAGCCCTTGGGGCCCCTGCGGGGTCCCCACTACTCACCAGGTCCCGGACACACCCACTGGAGGTCCAACCACAGTCCACCCGGCGTGGACTCCCTCCACAGGCAGCAGCACCTGGATCCCGTCTCGGCCGTAAGGAAGAGTAAACGAGAAAAGATGGAGAGCATGTTGCGGAACGACTCGCTCAGTTCCGACCAATCAGAGTCTGTCAGGCCGCCGCCGCCCAAACCTCACAAGACGAAGAGGGGCGGCAAAATGAGGCAGGTGTCCCTGAGCAGCTCGGAAGAGGAACTGGCCACTACACCGGAGTACACCAGCTGTGAGGATGTGGAGATCGAGAGTGAGTCTGTGAGCGAGAAAGGTAATGCAGTTTTTATAATTTATATATGTATGTACACTACCATTTAAAAGTTTGGGGTCGGTAAGATTTTTTTGCATTTTTGAAAGAAGTCTTTTATGCTCACAAAGGCTGTGTTTGTTTGATTAAAAACACAGTAAAAACAGTAATATTGTGACATATTGAAATGTAAAATTACTGATTTCTATTTGATTTCTAATATATTTTAAAATGCAATTTATTTCTGATGACAAATCAAATTTTCAACTTCAGTGTCACATGATACTTCAGGAATAATTAAAATATGCTAAAGAAACATGTATTATTATTATCAATGTTGAAAACAGTTGTGCTGCTTAATATTTTTGTGGAAACCGTGATACATTTTTTTAAGGATTTTTTTTAATAATTAGAAAATGTAAATCTTTTGTAACATTATTAGTATTTACTGTCACTTTTGGTCTTGAATTTAATGCATCCTTGCTGAATAAAAATCTTAATAAAAAAATAATTTAAATAAATCTTACTGACCCCATATGTTTTTACTGTAGTGCATGTTAATGCAGTAAAGCTGTAGTGCGATCAGTTTAAAGCTGTTGCTAATATTTTTATTTTATTATTATTTATTATTTCATATGCTGATAACCTCTGACTGATGCTGATGTTTCACAGTGTGTGTGAATGGCCTGTGTTGTGTGAGCGGTTAGGAAGTGTGAGCAGAGACCTGTGTGTGTTTCTTTCAAGAGGAGTGATTGTGCGTGTCTGACAGTGAAACTGTAGATTATCAAGCTTCATGCTATTCACTATATAAAGAAATTCAACTTCATTTAAATGACAAAAAAAGCAGTTACTACCGGAAAAAAAAAACTACATTAAAGTCGAAAAAGTAATGCTGAACTGCTGTGTTTATCTAAATATGTAGCTATATATATATAAAAAGGACATGAATCAGTGAATCACTTTGTTTTGAGCAGGTTCATTCACACGAACTGTCCAAATAAACCAGTTTACTGGAATGAATTCGATATCCATACAGTTTAGAAAATGGTTTTTGATTATTTCCACAGCTGTTTAAAATGACTTGTTAGTTACTCTCCAACACTGGTGTTCATTTACAGTATGTATGACTTGTGACTTGCTTTCTACCTTTGTATATTTGTGTGTGTGTGTGTGTGTGTGTGTGTGTGTTGTGTTCTCTCGGCTGTCCTCCAGTGACAGATATTGCTGTGTCTTGGTTCCCTCAGATCAGATGTAATGGGCTGTGTTACATAACAGAGGGATAGAGTGGGAAAGAGAGAGACAGGGGAAAGAGAGAAAATGCGAGGAAGAGAGATGAGATGATTCTGTATTCTGAAAAATATTAAGATAAGGATTAATGTTAGAAGTGCACTTATTTATTCAGTTTTACACCTAAAGAAATGAGCAGCATGCTTGGGAAACCTGAAGACTTCTGTCGTATTGGTGGCCTAGAAACAGATGTTTTATGGTGCGGCATGTTAAGATCACATGACCAGCTGAATACTACTCACTTTATCTCAATAAATGCCCTTTTATCACATTATGCAATAAAATAATCATGGATGACAAATATTTGTAATATTTAAAAAGCATCCCAAAATAATAAAAAAATTAAAACGAATTAAAATGATATTTATTATGTTATGTTACATGATGTTACATTGCTATTTTATGTAGCCAGGAATATATTATTTCAATTGTGAAATATTTCTACATTTCTACATTTCTACAATTTCATTTATGCCGATTTAAATTAAGGTGAAATGTGATGCTTTTTTTAACAGTGAAACAAAAAAATCAAATGCACCTTAATGTATTTGTATATATTTTTTGTTTGGCAGTGTGCATTCATACAGTAATGCCGTTTTTATGCATATTAGAGTATCGAGTTATTATCTTAGCTACATGTCATGCTTAATGTATTGGAAATAATTGAGTATCTCAGCACTTTATTTACTGTGTAAACAACAAAAAGTAAGGTTTTTGAACAGAGTTGCATGAATGGGTCCGGATGATGGAGGCGGGATAGAGAACTGGAGAGAGAACAACTTGGTCCGAGCCACTTATATAAGCATCCCGAGGACAAAACCCAGCGTACAGTTCTACATTATTGATGTTCTGCTTTTCCAGGTTTCACAGCCACACTTATAACCAGAGGAGAGGAGTAATGCTCTCTCTGAAGGTCAGGTGAGTTTTAGGGAGGAGGGGAGAGCACATCAGGCCAGATAAGACTGCCTTTCCCATCAGCTTTATCACACATGAGAGCCGAGCGCAGTGGAGATACGGCACAGGGATAGTAGCGTTTCTGCATGATTACAACCAGACAATCAGTCATTCTACTGGATTTCATCATTGTATTATTGGTTCAGCTTATTTAAATACACACAGTTTTTTTCATGGTGTGGGTCATTTTATTTATTTATTTTTTGAAATGTAATGTTAAAATACTCTCTATCCCAGTTTATTGTGCTAGTTCAGACAACTACAAGTAGGTTGAAATTATTATTGATTATTTCAGACTTTCCTATGATAGTCTAAAGCTTTTCTCATTGCTGCTGGTCTCTGCCAAACTCGCGTTACTAACACAAACATAATGAAATATAAATATAGTTATGCACCACTAGTGGCATCAGCTGGAATTGCACAACCATTCAAAGGTTTGGGTCATTTATTTATTTATTTTTGAAAGAAATTAACACTTTTATTCAGCAAGGATGCAGTAAATTTACAGTAAATACATTTATGTTACAAAAAATTACCTTTTCAAATAAATGTGGTTCTTTTGAACGTTCTATTAAATAATCCTGAAAAAAAAAATCACACAAATATTTAGCAGCACAAAAAAACACAAATGTCAGGGCATGTCAAAACTTCTCCAGGGCCCCAAAACCCCCTCAGACCCCAGAGGGTTTAAATAGAAAACAGTTACTTTAAATTGCGCTAATATTTCACAATATTACTGTTTTTACAGGGTTTTCGATCAAACAAATGGAGCCTTGGTGTGCATAAGACACTTCTTTTAAAAACATTTTTGAAAAATCTTACTGACTTTTTGACCTCTTTTGAATGGTGGTGTAAATTTGCATGACTACTGCATATTCAGACATACTTTTCATTTGATGTGCTGCTTTTTGCATACTATACAGTATAATGAGGAAGTACACTTATTCAGATGCAGTGAGAGCAGTGTTTGGAAATTGCCACAGGGTTACTATCTTCCAATATAGTATATTAAACTGGGTAGGAAAGAATTTTAACATTCGGGAAAAAAGCTTCTTTAAAATACTGCATTAAACACAATATGCAAAACTTGGATGCCACTTTTGACATCTGATGTCTTTGGACACTAGTACAGATCAACTTTAGCCATGAACTGGTTGTTCTTTGTTTTGTTAGAGCAGACTAGCAGACAGTTAATATTTCGGGCTTCCTGTTCTGAATAAAGGTTTTGACGTTATTTGCCGTCTGGCTGTCTGAAGATCAGATGTAATGAGGTGAAAGCAGGTTACCATGGCATCCTCTTTGCTGCAGGCCTGTTTTTGGATCGGAATAAGTCACTGTGATTGGCTCTCGTCTCGGCTCACTCTGCATTCAGACCTGCTCTCAAAGCAGCCAAAAAACCTCGTACGATTCATGGCGAATTGTGTAATGGTCAAAAGCATGTGTGATTAGAAAACATTTGAGGTGGTGCCCCATCCATCCATCCATCCATCCATCCCAATCCATCCCAATCCATCCCAATCCATCCATCCATCCATCCATCCATCCATCCATCCATCCATCCATCCATCCATCCATCCATCCATCCATCCATCCATCCATCCATCCATCCATCCATCCATCCATCCATCCAAATGAATAGCATTCATTCCTCAGGAATTTCCCGTTTTCCATGACATGCCAAGGGGAATCAATCAGATCACATCTTCAGTTTCAGGCAAAGCTGTCCTATTCGAAACCTTCATGGAGACAAATATCAATACTCATTTTATGATTGTACGCCATGTCGCTTTCTTCAGTCTGTCTCTCTCTGTTCTCCTGTTCATTCGTAGTAAAAACAGCATCAATAATTAATGATCCAATTAATAGTTTACACTGGGTTTTTATTGAGTTGTCAGAGTGATGGAGAGCCGTGTGCTAGCGGCCTGGGAGCTGTGCTCAGGCCTGAATCAGCACTTCCGCCTTCTGCCGAGAACGTGAGAGCGAGAGAGAAATAGATCCCAGAACCTAGCTGCTAAGAGCGCTGCACTCTCGCTTTCACTACACAGAGAGAGAGAGAGAGAGAGAGACAGCAGCAGTGCTCCAGAAGAATAGCATTGTGTAGCTACTGTTATTGTTTTGTCCCAGGTTAATTGGGCCACTTTCGTCATTGAGATAAAGGGACAAAATGTACCTGCATTACCTGCTTTCACCCTATAGTTCACCCAAAAATGAACATTCGGTCATAATTTACTCACTTATTTTGTTCCAAACCTGTATGAATGTCTGTCTTCTGTTGAACACAAAAGAAGATATTTTGAAGAATGTACTTAACCAAACAGTTGCTGGTAGCTATTGACTTCCATATTATTATTATTTTTCCATACTATGAAGGTCAATGGCTACCAGCAACTGTTTGTTTTTATTGTATGGTTTTAATGATAATAAAACTATGAAATGGTCATACTAATCGTTGGGACTTTTCATCTTGGTTTATCGTCAAGCCTGTAACTGGTACATTTAAAATTAGAAACATAAATATTAGACATTCTTCAAAAAAATCTTCTTTTGTGCTCAACAGAAGAAAAAAACTTTCAGGTGCAGGTTAAGAACAAATTGAGGGTGAGTTAATTATGTGAGATCCATCTATAATTTAAGGATTATAATATTTTGGTTTGCGTATATCAAGTTTTAAATAATCAAATGAGATTAAATACTTCAGATTGTGAAAAATCAGCACTTTAATATATATATATATATATATATATATATATATATATTTAAAACCATTTTAATAAAAAAAATTTCTCTGTGTTTTTTGCCGTGCATAGTACTGTCTATTATACTCTATGATTTTCTCAAGGACCAGAGCATTCAGTGGAGTACTACAAGAATAGCTTTAGGTTTATACAAAACCTAAAGCTTATACAAGAGTTTTTACAAGAATTACCCCTTTATTCTTTTGTGCATTAATTTTCATAAGTCTGCAGTTCTCTGTCATTATCACCGGCACTGGTGTTTTGAAGTTTAATGTAATGAGTCCCATGTGTAGATCAGTGTCTGTTATTAAAGCTGCTGCATGATTGGTCTGTTCATCTGATGTTTAAGCCATGTCAAGCTGATTGAGCGCTAGCATGTCTGATGATGTTAAATATCGCATGGTATTATATTTACTTAATTACTTATTTACTTAAACAGTTTTGTTAATTAAAATAAAGCTAAAATAAAATGGAGATGTTAGATGATAAACTTGAAATGTTGACTAACTGAAAATAAGTTGAAGTACTAAAACTAAAGCTGAAATAAGAATAAATGCAAAAAGTATATATACACACACAAATACCAAATGAAAAAAAAAAATTTAAACAAAAATTAAAAAACATAAACTAAAATAAATGATGAAAGCACATAACAAAATAACAAACAGAAAGTTTGAGAACAGAAAATATCAAAATGATAAAATATCAAAATATTCATAAACTATAATAATATGTAAAATACAAAAACAGCACTGCTGATATCATATCTGTTGTTATAGATATATGCTGTATCTAATTTATGATGCTGTGTTTGGATGATGTCATATTTGATCTGATCAAGCCCTATGTTATAGACTTTATGTAGCTCCGCCCCTTTTCAGCATTGTGTGCGTTGTCTTCTGGCTTGTATTTCCACAGTGTAAAGATAAGGTCGTGCGAATTTATAAATGAACTGTTCGTTTTAAAAACGTCCCAGTCTACTGACATGTGTTATGACATCCGCTTCAAACATGACAATTTTCTTGATAACGTTCATTAACTCTACAATAAGTTAATCTACTTCAACAGCGATGCTATATATATCAGAGCTACCGCAAAAAGCCGAAGCTCAAAGACAAAATTCTAAATATGGCTGTGTGCTTGTTTCTCTGGAGCACAAGGTCTATATTTAAATCTTTTATATCTGATTGTGTTGTCATATCTCTCCAATTGTAGTAGCACAGTTTAACAAAGTTAAAATGCACCGACTGCATTTTAAACTGAAGCCAAGTCAGGCAACTCCGACACTGTGTGTGTGTGTGTGTGTGTGTGTGTTTTTCTTCAAGTTAAGTGTATTACAGCCCAGTCCCAAGATCTTTTCAGATCTTATTAGTCAGACTTAGAAGATAGCGACTTCAGCCAAGTTTCAGCAAACGTTTGACCTCTTCTGTTGTTTTGTTGCAGTTAACGGGTACAAGTCATTTTTTTTGGTTCCTCGCCTAAATTGTCATAGGTTGCATAACTATGGTTATGAGCGTATCAATCAATGTACAGTAAATGTGAGTGTAAGTATGAGTGTGACTGACACATTTAACAGTATGAGAGTGAATTTAGTGTCTCTTTTCCCCACATGTCTCTCTTTCCTTTGTCCTCACAAACTACCTCTGCTGTAGGTGTGTGCTGTGATTGTGTGTGTGTGTGTGTGTGGCACTCGCAGGAGATTTGGATGGCCACTGGTGGGATCATACAACGTGGCATAGCAGCGATGCTTCCTCCATGTCTTTGGTGAGACATGCGGAGCCTAATGTCCCACCTCTTTCTCTCTCTTTCTGGCTCTTCTCTCTCTGTCGTTTTCTCCCTCTCTCTGTCACTCTTTGTCATTCCATTGTTCTTTTGATTTATTTTCAACTCTGCATGTTTTTTTTTCTTTCTGTTTTTATCCCATGTCTGTAGGGGACAGTCAAAGGGGAAAAAGACAAACTTTTGAGCAGTCACACACCTTATCTGAGGGCCAAAAGAAAACGGTACGCTTTGGGGGCCACTCTTTGGAAGAAGATGCTGAGTGGTGTGAACCCCAGGTTAAAGACTCGGGGGTTGATACATGCAGTAGCACTACCCTAAACGAGGAGCATAGCCATAGTGAGAAGGTACTGGGACCTCTTTAGCCTGCATTGGTTTGATTTCATTTGACCTTGTTTTGTTTGAAACTTTTCATTTATTCATTTTGTTCCATTTTCACATGATCTTTGTTTTGATGTCGCTGATATTAGGTGAGATCTTCTTTTTAGATGTTGCAGGGATAGTTCAACCAAAATGAAAATTCTGCCATCATTTATTCACATTTGTGTAGTTCCAAACCCATATGACTTTCTTTTTTCCTCTGTGGAGCACAAAATGAGATATTTTGAAGATGTCCAAGCTGCTATTTTCCATAAAATAAAAGCAGACAGTGACCAAGAGTTGTCAAGCTCCAAAAAGGAAAATGTTCTGTACGACCTGAATACAATATTTCAGATCTTCTAAAACTACACTGCCATTGAAAGGTTTGGGGTCACTAAGCATTTTTTTTATTAATACTTCTATTCAGCAAGGACTCATTCAATTGATCAAAAGTGACAGTAAAGACATTTGTAATGTTGCAAACGATTTTAATTTCAAATTAATGCTGTTCTTTTGAATGTTTTTATCAAAGAATTCTGAAAAAATGTAACATGGTTTCCACAAAAATTTTAAAAGGCAAAACTGTTTTCAACATTGATAATGATAAGAAATGTTTCTTCAGCAGCAAATCGGTATATTAGAATGATTTCTGAAGGATCATGTGACACTGAAGACTGGTGTAATGATGCTGAAAATTCAGCTTTGTATCATAGGAATAAATAACTTGTTAAAACATATTAAAATATAAAACAGCTATTTTAAAGTGTAATAATATTTCACAATATTACTGATTTTGAATTATCAAATTTGACTTTCATCAAATAAATGCACTCTTGGTGAGAAGAGACGACTTTCAGAAACTTTTGAACAGTAGTATAATCTAGTATATGATTGATTTTTGTGTGAAACTGACCAAAATTTAAATTACATTCACATTTATTCTCCTTTAAATCTCTTACATTTAGTTTGCACTTTAACATATTTAATTCTGCACGTCACGTTTGGTCATGTGGCTCGCAAAAACCAGTGCCGTTCAGCATCATCAATGTCAAAATATGCTTTCAGTGTACGGAAAAGAGCTGCATAAACATTCTCCTTTTGTGTTCCATAGAAGAAAGCAAGTCATACGTGTTTGGAACTTCATGAACAATTTTGATTGAACTATCCCCTTTTTTTAAGTTTTAAAAAACAAGTTTTCCTGTTTTAAATTTCTGTTCTTCTGTGGCAGTAGCTGGGGAGCCTCTTGCTTGCTCTGTTATCGTTTGCTGCTTAGCCGCAGCTGCCGTAGTTGACATAGCAGCGAATCACTCCATCATGTGACTGTGTGTTTTGTCATGGCACTTAGAGAATGTGGGTTCCCCCGTCAGATGCATGCCCTCTCAGCCTTGTGTCTTATTGCCGTGTTAGTGGCCCCGTCAGCCGCGGTAGGGCCCCAGACCCCCTCACTGGTTTGAATCCTCACTCCTTCCCCCCTCTCCCACTACACACACTCCAGGAGACTCGCTCTGAAACACACACGCTCACCCGCTCAGAGACAGCCAGCTAGGATTTAAGTTTGTTTTTCTTTTTTCCCTTTCCACTGTCATATTCCTTTGCTCTCCATGTTATGGATCACTGGTTTCCACCGTTTGTGTTCGTGAGCCTTTCCATGCTGTTCTCCTCGCTTTCAGTTTGAACATCGTCTGTTTCTTCTTCCATTATTTGGGCTTGTGTTTGCTGGATGTGGTGTTGGGGTTCGGCTGTGGTGATGTAGCCATTGGGGGGCTTTTCTCTGCATGTGATGGGTGCATGTCACTCCCAGTAAGACGATCACACAAACTCTATGCCACCTAGAGCCTCTTTAGCTAAAAAAGAAAATGAAAATATATTTATGAAGCATTTATGAATGTTCTGGATTCAGTACATTTTAAGCTCTCCTAAACTACAACTGAAAATAATTTTGGCCTTTTTTTGTGAGAATACACTAACATTCAAAATTTGGGGGTCAGTAAAAAGAGTTTTTAAAGAAATTAATACTTTTATTCACCAAGGATACATTAAATTGATCAAAAGTGACAGTTAAGAAATGCATAATGTTATAAAAAAAAATAAATGCTGTTCTTTTGAACTTTCGTGAAGAATCATGGTTTCCGCAAAAATATTAAGCAACTGTTTTCAACTTTGTTAATGTTAAGAAATCTTCTTGAGCAGCAAATCAGCATATTAGAATGATATCTGAAGGATCATGTGACACTGAAGACTGAAGTAATGATGCTGAAAAATCCATCTATGCATCACAGGAATTTTTTGGGTAACACTTACAATAAGGTTCATTAGTTAACAGTAGTTAGTTAACATGAACTAAGCTTGAACAATACTTCTACAGCATTTATTGATCTTAGTTCATGTTAATTTCAACATTTACTAATGCATTATTAAAATCAAAATTTGTATTTGTTAACATTAGTTAATGCACTGAGTTAATATGAACTAACAATGAATAACTATCTTTTCATTAATTAAGATTAACAAAGATTAATAAATACTTTAACAAATGTATTGTTCATTGTTAGTTCATGTTAGTTAATACATTAACAAATGACACCTTATTGTAAAGTATTACCCATTTTTGTTTTTCGAATTTGCTAATAAAACAAGAAAATACTGTTAGAGTTAGTTTTACAAGAAAATACCGTTTCTTTCTACTTCAAAATTTCATGTTTATTTCAGGGTGTTACTTGCAATTTCTATAAAATTATTTGTGTAATCGACTGCAATTTTCAGTGCAGGTACTTTAGATTGTAATAATATTTCACAGTAATACTGTTTTTATTGTATTTTTGATCAAATAAATGCAGCCTTGGTGAGTCAAAAACATTAAAAAAACTTTACAGACCCCAAACCTGTATGTACAAATGATAAGAAATGGAAATTTATGGGGCATGGCATTACACCATTACTGTTTATGAAGTATAACCACTTTAAACATTATATACTGTATCTGTTCAGTGTGATATAATTACTAACGTCATGTGTGGGGTTTTTTTGCATTACAATTTAAAACCACTTTTGCAGTGTATGTGCAAATTTGTGTATTTTCACATGACGCAAACTGTGTCCACAGGAATAATGTCAGAAACATGTAAGCAGAACTTCATTCATGCAGAAATGTCATTTCACCAATAAAATGACAATTTAGACAACTGTATAGCTCAGAAAACAGCCAGTTTGTATGAAATACGTAATATAAGCACTTTAGCAAAAACGCAAGCTTCACATTTCTGCTTTTAAACCATCTGGAATGCCTTGCCCCATAGACCTCCATTATATTTTTCTATTGTAAGCAGTTTTGTATGTTTTACCAACTGAGGGACGATTCTTTTTTTTTTTTTTTGACAGCATGTCATATATTTTGTCCATTTAGCTTAACTTGTATTGAACCCAGATTACTACTATAAATCTTCCTCCGATTTCATATCTGAAATTGAGCATTTATATATTGTATTATAATAGAGACGTTCATTAAATGTAAAAACAATATGCATTTTTAGACACATTTTTAATCCTTAAATGGATAGTTTATCAAAATCTGTCATCATTTACTCGCCCTCTAGATTTGAGAGCACAAGAATTTCAGCTTCCGATAATGACTGACATTTCAGTTCCTCATGCTAAGCTATCCCATCACTTCAGAAGACTTGGAATAAAGCACAGAAGTCACTTGGACCATTTTGCTCTCTAGTTTCCGATTCGACTATTTGACATTGGAGAAACTCATATTGGTCAATTGCTACTAACTATACTCTTTTGTTGTATGGAAGACATCTCCTTACGCAATCCACGGAAAACAGAAAATCATACAGGTTTGGAATGACATGAGGGTGAGTAAATTATGACAGAATTTTCATTTTGGGGGAGCTAATCCCTTAAGCCTCTAGGAAACATTATTTGATTTGTCCCAGACATGTGGCTTGCGCCCATGAAACACCTGCAATCACAACAGAGTTTGTGCGATAAATCAGATGAAATTCATCTCAGCCTTCCCCGCACCAGCACTGGCAGCTTTCTGTGTGTTCTGAAATGATGTTTGTTGTGGTTTTGACCTGACAGCACCCGGTCACATGGCAGCCCTCCAAAGATGGAGATCGACTCATCGGCAGGATTCTGCTCAACAAGCGCATGAAGGACGGCAGCGTTCCCCGTGACTCTGGAGCTCTTCTGGGACTGAAAGTGAGTCACTTGGCCTCCTGTGTGGACATGCTCTTTATGTGATTTTGATATCCCACGTGGTTGTGTAGTTCAGTAATGGCAGCAATTCATTTTGAAGGAGAGTTCCTGCTTTAAAGGAATAGTTCACCCAAAAATTAAAATTTGCTGAAATTTGAAAAGATGTAGATGAGCTTGTTTCTTCAGCCGGAACAGATTTGGGGAAATTTAGCATTACATCACTTGCTCACCAATGGATCCTCTGCAGTGAATGGGTGCCGTCAGAATGAGAGTCCAAACCGCTGATAAAAACTTCACACTAATTCTCAAGTAATCCACACAACCACAGTCCATCGATTAATGTCTTGTGAAGTGAAAAGCTGTGATTGTAAAAAAAAGAGCTAAAATACTAGTCCTATATCCATAATATTCTCCAGCCAAAAAGAAAATGTGCAGATCAAGCACTGCTTACAAGTGAAAACAGGCCTAAGCAGCTCTATAAGCAAATATTATGATATTCTACAAATCTGTTCCAGTGAAGAAACAAACTAATCTACATCTTGAATGTCCCGAGGGTGAGTACATTTTCAACTTATTATATATATATTATTCTAATCCTTTTTATTAGACTCTTCCTTTAATACAAACTCTGACAACATTTATGTTGAATACTACAGAAAAAAATATTTCCGACCATTTTTAAAAAACAGAAATATCAATTGTGGGTCTTCTAGAGAAATTAAACATGGTCATGGATTTGTCTTCTAGAGAAATTAAACATGGCCATGGATTTTAAAGGGTTAAAATCATAAAAGTTAAGTTGATATTTATGTTCAAGTCATAAGTGTTCATGTTCATAACCCATTGTACTTAGAATACTGGACAAGACAGTTGTAGAGTGGGATTGTTTATCCATTAGGAATTGATTGAGTTGAAAGGAAAAATATTTTCGAAGTGGATCAAATTAAAAAAAAAAAATATTGATCAATTATGAACAAACATTTTATTACTTGCAATGATGAGCACTCTAAGTATACAATGTATACTCTTAAAAATAAAGGTTCCAAAGTTATTTTTTTCCTTTTCTTTTTTGGAGCAATGCATTTTTGTTCCTCAAATAACTTTTCAGTGAACAGTTCTTAAAAGAACATTTGGTTACACTTAATTTTCTTGTTAGTGTAATTATGCATTTAAGTACTCAGTAATATTAATTAACTACATGTACTTACTATATGGTTAGGGTTACTTGCATGTAATTATGCATAACTAATTGTTATAGTAGTAAGTACATGTAACATGTGTAACAAGGACACCTTAAAATAAAGTGTTACCGAACATTTTAATCTGAAGAATCTTTTTATATTTTTAAGGACCTGTGCAATAAAAAGGTTCTATGGATGTTAAAGGTTCTTCATGGAACCATCAATGTCAATAAAGAACCTTTATTTTTTAAAGAGTGAATGCTTACTACTTTTAACAAATGTTTACTGAGAAAGTCTAAAAGGTTCATTGTAATTTATTGTTGACATTCAAAGAGCGTCAAAACATCACTGTAAAAAAAAATCCATAAAATTTACGGTAAAAAACCGGCAGCTGTGGTTGCCGGAATTTTGCCTTAAAAAAATACAGTAGCAATGTTTTAGGTTTTACGGTTTTAACTTAAATTTACAGTTAAATACCGTAATTTCATTAACTGATATAATGTTAATATACCGACCTATTAAAGTACTGAAATCTGTTTTGTACCTTTGTAATACACTGATATCCACCAAAAGGAGGTGGTGATAAAAAAGTCACATGATGAACCAAAGCCCATCACAAGCAGCTTTTAAATAATAACAGAAGGTGCAGTGTCATTCACACAAACGCTAAACACCATCATGGTAACACACATGAAACTGAAATAATGCAATAAGCATTCATTTAACAGCATTAGGTGTAACACACAATCCTAATATACAAAACTGATAAGAAAAAACTAAGAAGAAATATAGTTGTTTCAACAAAAAAAACATAAGATTTGAAATGTAACGCAGGGAATTCTGGGAATGTCAATTTATGGTTATTCACTGTAAATTATACGGTATTTTTCATTTCCAAAAACGGTATACTACCGTAAAATTTATGTCCAATACATGTAATGTCCAATACAGTTTTTCACCGTATATAGTAGGGGAATTTACTGTTAACCATTTAACAGGTTTTTACTGTAGTATTTTTACAGTCTTTTACCGTTAAATTCACAGTAATTTTTTACAGTGATGGTTACAGTAAAGCTCTTACAGTGGAAGGAAACAGAGCTGTGTGCTTGCAGGGTTTAAAAGCAGAAATGCAAAGCTTGTATTTGTTGTTAAAGCACTTACATGGATTGTTCAGCGGAGTGGAGAGAAACAGAGAATCGTTACTGATAACTAACTTTCTGAATGGCTGACTGTGTGTCAGCTCATTGCTACCGTGTGCATTATATCCGTTACCAGCAGCAGTTTGTCAAACACACACAAACACACACACTCACAATCGCCCTCGGCTCCATGCCACTAATTATGTAAAGCCATCTTTATCCAGGAGGCAGCTCGTAATCATCTTTGTATGTTTGCATTGGGCTGCCATTAGTGGGGATTTGATTTGGATTTGTATGATTCTCACAGAGCGATTGGTCATGTGGGGTTTATGGTGCAGACCTCCAGGCCTTTTCCAACAGTCGTTTTTTTCAAAAGCGTGGACAGAAAATAACGTATACACACCCTTGAACTTGTGTAACTTGTGCAATTTTTTTTCGAAAGAGATAATCCCTTCTGAACTCTAGTTTAATAAAATCAGTCATAAATAAAAAAAGACAAGAACTATTAAATATATTCACATAAAATTGAGCTTATGTAGCTAACCTAAACATTAACAACATGAAATCTTCATTATAGAGTCATGTTAATTATAACTAGTTATGGTTAATTATTCATATTTCCTGTCGTTGAGCTAAATTCGCTACAACACCTACAATACCAGTGAAATTTCATTTGCATTTCTTGGTAAAAATGTTGGGACAAAAGCAAAAACTAATATACTATATCACTAGTTCATTATCTAAACTTTTTTTTTTTTTTTGTCGTCGTCGTCGTCTTTTGCAGGTGGTTGGGGGAAAGATGACAAAGTCTGGGCGACTTTGTGCATTCATCACCAAAGTAAGGAAAGGGAGTTTAGCGGATACAGTTGGGCATCTCAGACCAGGTACATGCTATGTTTCAATATTTGATATACCATTCAAAAGTTTGGAGTTGGTCATTTTTTTGTAGTCCCTTATTCTCACTAAGGCTAAATTTATTTGATCAAAAATACAATAAAAACTACTATTGTGAAATATTATTACAATCTATAAACATTTTATTTTTTTAGTTTATTTTGAAATGTTTGTATTGTTTATTTGATTAGTTTATTTTAATTTGAATGTAATTTATTTTTGTTGTGACAACTGCATTTTCAAAAGCCAATACTTTAGTCTTCAGTGTCACAGGATCCTTCAGAAATCATTCTAATATGCTGATATTCTGCTTAACAGACATTTCTTCTTATTATAAATAATGTTGAAAGCAGTTGTGCTGCTTAATATTCTTGTGGAAACCATGCAATTTTTTTTAAGAATCTTTGATAAATAGAATAAGCCTAAAATAACAATTTGTAACAGTTTGTTTTTTGTAACTATGTAAGCTTTAATGCTACTTTACTATCACTTTTGATCAATTTAATGCATTTTTGCTGAATAAAAAGAAAATCTTACTGACCCCAGACTTCTAAATAGTGGACTATTAGTCTGACAGTTTGTATTAAATCTGGTAATGAGTACTAGCATGAGTGTTTGATTTGCAGAGTTTGGTAATTAATTTTCTTGTTTCATAGGTGACCAGGTCCTAGAGTGGAATGGCCGACAGTTGCAAGGAGCCACATTTAAAGAAGTTTACAATATCATTTTAGAATCAAAGCCAGAGCCTCAGGTGGAACTAGTGGTCTCACGACCCATTGGGTACGACATCCTCTAGTGTTCTTCAGTGTGACATGAAACTGGTCTTCATGTGAACATAACAGAAAGTACATTTACAAACATTCAGTTACACTGTGAATACAAAAGATGCAACAAATGCATCCATCATGGAATATTATGCTGGTACTGATAAAGAAGCAATTGAAAATCATTCATCATTATGTTATCGTTAACGGATGAAAATCATATTCTGAATCGGTTTGGGTTAAAAAAACAAAAAAACTGAAAACTTTTTTTCCCCTTGCATTTTCCTCATGAGCTGCAATCAGAAACAAACCTACAGTGCTGATTTGCAAGACATTTTTTTAATGAATTGGTCAAAAAGGCTCACAAATTAGTCTCATGTTTGAATCTGTCTAACGATGCGCTTCCTCAAAAGTATAAAAAAATAATTATGAAATCACCAGATTTATTAAGTCTGATATGATCCAGAAACATTAAATTTGCTGTTGTTCTTATTTGTGTTGTAATTTCATGTGAGTTTCTGAATAGACCTCAACAACATTGTGATTAATATTGGTTTTAATCATAGCACTAACATGCTTTTGACCCTTGTGGTCCGTCTGCCTATAAATTTTATATCATAATAGTTTGTTTTAGCAATACGGTAGATGTTTTTGATTTTCTTTACGTAGTATTAAAGGTATTATGTCATGGGAAATCCATTTTCAGATAAAATATACTGATGAAACGTACTGCTACTTTCAAACTCAAAAGTTCCTTTTTAATTCTAAATATTAAAATATTACAAATAATCTGCAAAAATGACTCTTTCCAAACTTTTTTTGTTTTGTTTTGTTTCTTGGTTCATAACCTTACTAGTGGACATCAGGGAAAAAATGTCTGACATGAGCATGCTTTAGAGCACCTGCTGCTGGCTCAGATGAGCAAACAAACAAAACTGCTGCCCTCAGTTTAGCCTCCTAATCGTCCTAATTGTAATTAATAAGAGCGTATGACCAAGTGAACTCTCTTTAGATTGTGAGTTTGGGCTGCTGCCACAAACTTCATATCAAGACTAATGTGGTGCTCAGGGTCATTACAGTTTTTTTAAATTGCTTAGGCACTAAAAGTAGTACTTGAGGACCACTCCGTGAAACCATTCACTCATATACCTAATCTTTAGACCAAGTCTGCAAAACTACAAGCACATTACGTGCTTTAAACTCAGTTTGCTATTGTAGAACAAACTTTTTGCAAAACTCTAAACAGTTCTCTACATTACAAACATCATTCAAAACTAACAGCTCTTTGGGAAATACTGCCATTTAAATGCCACACTCATTTACTGATGACCTACACCCAGTGATCATGTGTGAAAACAACTTTATTTCTAAAGCACTTTATACGATACAGATTGTTTCACAGCAATTCTGTGAAATTCTGCTGTAAAGCAGCTCTAACAAGTCAATAGTGGCATTACACCGCTCAAGTCAGCGCAGTATTGAGTTAGTTCAGTTGCATAACTGTGTAAAATTCATCAGATGTACACACATACTGTATATAGAGTGTATATGTGCATATGCATGTATGTGCGTGTGCTGTGAAACTCCTGTGCACTCCACTGCACTCTGAACAAGCAAGAGAGACACGAGAGTAGTGTTTTACATTTTTCACATCTGTGTGTAGTTTTCCGTTTACGCGGCTAATTATTTTATGCTTGTGCATAGTTACTATGCAAGAATACCATTTTTAGAAGAGTTAAAATTGTTTTGAAAGAAGTGTTTTTGCTTTTGCAAAATACTATGCGTGACGTTTTGCATGCTGTGTGTGTGTGCTTTGTGTGTAGAGTTTTGAGAAATGGAGCCATATTCTCAAAAACTGAGTGTAAGCATTTAAAAAAAAAAAAACAACGTACATGTCATTGATTTCTCTGTGCCACTGTCATTGCAGCGATATCCCCAGGATACCAGAAAGCACACACTCACAACTGGAATCCAGTGAGTACATTTTCTCAGTCTAGTATGTATAAACAATACGATTCTGTGAGACTTTAATGATATATCTTTCTTTAGCTGCTTTTTGGTTTACTTGCCAGACTTATATATATAACATTGTTATATATAATACATTGTTGGGGAGTAACTAGTTACATGTAACGGAGTTATGCAATTTAATTACAGTTACTTATGAAAATGTTAATGATTACGAAGGGGGTTACATCGAAATATTTTCACACACATACAGATTTAATTGATTTCTTTCCCAAATTGCATTGACTGCTTTAAAATAGGAGACACCATGTTTCAGGAGTTTAGGAGACAGAATAGGACACATGCTTATTCGATAACTGTTTTATTTCCTATTTGGGTTTATGTATATGCTTTATTTTTTAAGATTTTTTTTTTCCAAGGCATTGTTAGATGCCAGTGTTTCCTGTCATAGCTATGCAAAGATTTGATTTCAAAAACAACATAGCTATTAAACTATATCTTGTTATGATTTTAAATTCGTATTTAACCTCAGAATGGTCTCAAAGTAAAAAGAGGTGCTGAACTCTGATTTTGTGGTGGCTGTGCTTTAAAATGACATTTTTCCATGGTTTCCCAGGCAAGGCTTAAGCCTAGTCCCAGACTAAAATGTAAGTCTGAGCTGTTTCAACTGAGGGAAACTTGCACTGATTGACCTTAAAATTTGTCAGGGCCCTTGTTTTGTCTCAAGATGCACACCAGTAATGTTTTTTTTCTTTGGCATGTTTATAAAAATTACTTTAATGTCCTAATTGAACTATGACCTAATCCTGGTTTAGTCTAAGCCCTGTCTGTGAAACCAGGTCTTTATCATCTTAGTTCAAGTGATGAAGGATTTTGAAAGTCTGACAGTAATCAGCGTTGAGTACTACAGTAATGTTAACCCTGCCTGGTTTAAATGTTTGGAAATATAACCGTTGAAAACATTCAATAGAAATTTAGAAAAGTACTCAAAAAGTAATGTAATCAAATGTAATCAGTTACATTAATAAAGTAATTGAAATAGTTACAACCCTTATTACATTTTAAATAGGGTAACTTCTAATCTGTAACCTATTACATTTCCAAAGTAACCTTCCCAACACTGTGTATATGTATATGTAGTTTTGTGTTTTTATGCTTAACACTAAATCTATTCTAAGGTTCGAGTTCATTTGAGTCTCAGAAGATGGAGCGGCCCTCCATATCCATCACGTCTCCCATGAGCCACGGAGTGCTGCGGGATGGCCCACAGTACTTATCGGGACAGCTTACAGTAAGTTCACAATAATCACATCCTGTGCAGGGGACAAAATTTGTTTTGCATTATAGAAAGTTAAAACTTAGTCTTTTCCCCATGTCAAATAAGGATTCATATCAGAAACAAGTTTAATTGCAACTGTAAAATTTAGGTCGGTACGTATTTTGATGAAGAGTAGCTATAAAGTTTGCCAAAAACTAGTGGTTTTCAGGCTTGTGCAACTCAACTACGTTTCCCATCATTCTTTGACATCACAATAATGAAAAATACATAGATAAAACATTGCTTACACATGTAATTTGCGTCATTTGTGCTTTAATTGCTGTACAACCATCAACAAAACTTCATCAGGAAGCGAAAGGGGTGAAAAAAGGGGTGACAAATGTTTGAAATTCCACAACTTTTCCGTTTCATTCTGACTAAAATCACTTAAACCACTTTAAACAGAGATAAAGCGTTGGATCAGTGATCAGGCAAAGCTGCCGTAGCCTTCTCAAACCTGATCAGGTTACAGTCAGGCCTCATGCAGCCCAATGTGTGTGTGTAAAAATACCCAGCATGCTTGTAGAACATGACAAACTCTGGTGTAAAGTGCACAAGCTGGTTGATTGAAGCAAAACAAATGAAGTGCAGGTTTTTCCCTATGGATGAAAAAATCAATGACTTCCACGAATGGTTGACCAAAATGGGTTTTCCAGTGGCTGATACCGATATCTAGAAAGCAGGGTGGCTAATGATAGATGGATAGAGGATAGATAGATGGATTGATGGATGGATGGATAGTTTTGGGTAGACAGTTAAACAAATTAATAGACATGAATGGATGGATGGATGGGTAGTTTTGGGTAGGCAGTTAGACAAATGAATAGACATGAATGAATGGATGGATGGGTAGTTTTGGGTAGACAGACAAATGAATAGACATGGATGAATGGATGGATGGGTAGTTTTGGGTAGACAGACAAATGAATAGACATGGATGAATGGATGGATGGGTAGTTTTGGGTAGACAGACAAATGAATAGACATGGATGGGTAGTTTTGGGTCAATGCCACTAATCTCAAAATGAATGGTGTATTATTAAGATTAATAAAAATGTGTTCTTGTTCTGTATCTCACTGAATTCAATCATTGCTAATACTCTATGGTGTGTACGCGTGTGTTTGTGTGTTAAATAACAATCTTGTTACTTTGTATTTTGCTGAATGGGAGATTCAATGTAAACAGTGATGTTTCTTGTGAAGAGATGCCCATTGAGATTTTTTAGTAGAAAAGACATGACATTTCAGTTTTTTCATGGAACTAAAGAAACCGTTTCGAGGGTTGTGGGCCTCACTTGGGGAAACGCTGCTCTAGAAAATGCACAGGAAATATTCAGTCCTTAAATGAGTCCTGAGCATTAAACCTAATCACTGATTTCCCAATCTCTGAACAAGAGATTGCAGTTAATTGCATTACAGTGAAAATAGTAAATGAAATCAAAATATTACAATGCAGTATCTTCAAATGTCTGACAGTCATTGTCTTTAGATTGAATCTCCTTTTGACTTTCTTTGTGTTTCATTAACAACTGGTATTGTCATTTCAGGTTAGTTTTATTGCATTTCTCTTCATTGTTGTTTTTCATTCACTTTACTTACCCAGAGCCAAAGCCTTAGTAGAAGAATTGAGCCTTTTAACCCTAAAGTTCAGGTAATCGTTGCTGTCTACTAAATACAATTATCTTCTATTGCTTTAATTCATTGGATAATGCACAGTTGAAAAATGACTGCATTTCCAGCTATTTATTATCTCAGTTTGCGCTTTCGAAGAGCTCTTTACCTATTCATTGTTATTGCTGTTTTAACCCTTGTGCGACCTTTTGGACATTTTTGTCCTTTTCAGTTTTATTTTTTATTTTTTTATAATTTTGCCTGTGTTATTGCCAACTGCATACATTTAGGCACAGGTGTTTTTGTCGTCGTCGTCGTCTTTTGCAGGTGGTTGGGGGAAAGATGACAAAGTCTGGGCGACTTTGTGCATTCATCACCAAAGTAAGGAAAGGGAGTTTAGCGGATACAGTTGGGCATCTCAGACCAGGTACATGCTATGTTTCAATATTTGATATACCATTCAAAAGTTTGGAGTTGGTCATTTTTTTGTAGTCCCTTATTCTCACTAAGGCTAAATTTATTTGATCAAAAATACAATAAAAACTACTATTGTGAAATATTATTACAATCTATAAACATTTTATTTTTTTAGTTTATTTTGAAATGGTTGTATTGTTTATTTGATTAGTTTATTTTAATTTGAATGTAATTTATTTTTGTTGTGACAACTGCATTTTCAAAAGCCAATACTTTAGTCTTCAGTGTCACAGGATCCTTCAGAAATCATTCTAATATGCTGATATTCTGCTTAACAGACATTTCTTCTTATTATAAATAATGTTGAAAGCAGTTGTGCTGCTTAATATTCTTGTGGAAACCATGCAATTTTTTTTAAGAATCTTTGATAAATAGAATAAGCCTAAAATAACAATTTGTAACAGTTTGTTTTTTGTAACTATGTAAGCTTTAATGCTACTTTACTATCACTTTTGATCAATTTAATGCATTTTTGCTGAATAAAAAGAAAATCTTACTGACCCCAGACTTCTAAATAGTGGACTATTAGTCTGACAGTTTGTATTAAATCTGGTAATGAGTACTAGCATGAGTGTTTGATTTGCAGAGTTTGGTAATTAATTTTCTTGTTTCATAGGTGACCAGGTCCTAGAGTGGAATGGCCGACAGTTGCAAGGAGCCACATTTAAAGAAGTTTACAATATCATTTTAGAATCAAAGCCAGAGCCTCAGGTGGAACTAGTGGTCTCACGACCCATTGGGTACGACATCCTCTAGTGTTCTTCAGTGTGACATGAAACTGGTCTTCATGTGAACATAACAGAAAGTACATTTACAAACATTCAGTTACACTGTGAATACAAAAGATGCAACAAATGCATCCATCATGGAATATTATGCTGGTACTGATAAAGAAGCAATTGAAAATCATTCATCATTATGTTATCGTTAACGGATGAAAATCATATTCTGAATCGGTTTGGGTTAAAAAAACAAAAAAACTGAAAACTTTTTTTCCCCTTGCATTTTCCTCATGAGCTGCAATCAGAAACAAACCTACAGTGCTGATTTGCAAGACATTTTTTTAATGAATTGGTCAAAAAGGCTCACAAATTAGTCTCATGTTTGAATCTGTCTAACGATGCGCTTCCTCAAAAGTATAAAAAAATAATTATGAAATCACCAGATTTATTAAGTCTGATATGATCCAGAAACATTAAATTTGCTGTTGTTCTTATTTGTGTTGTAATTTCATGTGAGTTTCTGAATAGACCTCAACAACATTGTGATTAATATTGGTTTTAATCATAGCACTAACATGCTTTTGACCCTTGTGGTCCGTCTGCCTATAAATTTTATATCATAATAGTTTGTTTTAGCAATACGGTAGATGTTTTTGATTTTCTTTACGTAGTATTAAAGGTATTATGTCATGGGAAATCCATTTTCAGATAAAATATACTGATGAAACGTACTGCTACTTTCAAACTCAAAAGTTCCTTTTTAATTCTAAATATTAAAATATTACAAATAATCTGCAAAAATGACTCTTTCCAAACTTTTTTTGTTTTGTTTTGTTTCTTGGTTCATAACCTTACTAGTGGACATCAGGGAAAAAATGTCTGACATGAGCATGCTTTAGAGCACCTGCTGCTGGCTCAGATGAGCAAACAAACAAAACTGCTGCCCTCAGTTTAGCCTCCTAATCGTCCTAATTGTAATTAATAAGAGCGTATGACCAAGTGAACTCTCTTTAGATTGTGAGTTTGGGCTGCTGCCACAAACTTCATATCAAGACTAATGTGGTGCTCAGGGTCATTACAGTTTTTTTAAATTGCTTAGGCACTAAAAGTAGTACTTGAGGACCACTCCGTGAAACCATTCACTCATATACCTAATCTTTAGACCAAGTCTGCAAAACTACAAGCACATTACGTGCTTTAAACTCAGTTTGCTATTGTAGAACAAACTTTTTGCAAAACTCTAAACAGTTCTCTACATTACAAACATCATTCAAAACTAACAGCTCTTTGGGAAATACTGCCATTTAAATGCCACACTCATTTACTGATGACCTACACCCAGTGATCATGTGTGAAAACAACTTTATTTCTAAAGCACTTTATACGATACAGATTGTTTCACAGCAATTCTGTGAAATTCTGCTGTAAAGCAGCTCTAACAAGTCAATAGTGGCATTACACCGCTCAAGTCAGCGCAGTATTGAGTTAGTTCAGTTGCATAACTGTGTAAAATTCATCAGATGTACACACATACTGTATATAGAGTGTATATGTGCATATGCATGTATGTGCGTGTGCTGTGAAACTCCTGTGCACTCCACTGCACTCTGAACAAGCAAGAGAGACACGAGAGTAGTGTTTTACATTTTTCACATCTGTGTGTAGTTTTCCGTTTACGCGGCTAATTATTTTATGCTTGTGCATAGTTACTATGCAAGAATACCATTTTTAGAAGAGTTAAAATTGTTTTGAAAGAAGTGTTTTTGCTTTTGCAAAATACTATGCGTGACGTTTTGCATGCTGTGTGTGTGTGCTTTGTGTGTAGAGTTTTGAGAAATGGAGCCATATTCTCAAAAACTGAGTGTAAGCATTTAAAAAAAAAAAAACAACGTACATGTCATTGATTTCTCTGTGCCACTGTCATTGCAGCGATATCCCCAGGATACCAGAAAGCACACACTCACAACTGGAATCCAGTGAGTACATTTTCTCAGTCTAGTATGTATAAACAATACGATTCTGTGAGACTTTAATGATATATCTTTCTTTAGCTGCTTTTTGGTTTACTTGCCAGACTTATATATATAACATTGTTATATATAATACATTGTTGGGGAGTAACTAGTTACATGTAACGGAGTTATGCAATTTAATTACAGTTACTTATGAAAATGTTAATGATTACGAAGGGGGTTACATCGAAATATTTTCACACACATACAGATTTAATTGATTTCTTTCCCAAATTGCATTGACTGCTTTAAAATAGGAGACACCATGTTTCAGGAGTTTAGGAGACAGAATAGGACACATGCTTATTCGATAACTGTTTTATTTCCTATTTGGGTTTATGTATATGCTTTATTTTTTAAGATTTTTTTTTTCCAAGGCATTGTTAGATGCCAGTGTTTCCTGTCATAGCTATGCAAAGATTTGATTTCAAAAACAACATAGCTATTAAACTATATCTTGTTATGATTTTAAATTCGTATTTAACCTCAGAATGGTCTCAAAGTAAAAAGAGGTGCTGAACTCTGATTTTGTGGTGGCTGTGCTTTAAAATGACATTTTTCCATGGTTTCCCAGGCAAGGCTTAAGCCTAGTCCCAGACTAAAATGTAAGTCTGAGCTGTTTCAACTGAGGGAAACTTGCACTGATTGACCTTAAAATTTGTCAGGGCCCTTGTTTTGTCTCAAGATGCACACCAGTAATGTTTTTTTTCTTTGGCATGTTTATAAAAATTACTTTAATGTCCTAATTGAACTATGACCTAATCCTGGTTTAGTCTAAGCCCTGTCTGTGAAACCAGGTCTTTATCATCTTAGTTCAAGTGATGAAGGATTTTGAAAGTCTGACAGTAATCAGCGTTGAGTACTACAGTAATGTTAACCCTGCCTGGTTTAAATGTTTGGAAATATAACCGTTGAAAACATTCAATAGAAATTTAGAAAAGTACTCAAAAAGTAATGTAATCAAATGTAATCAGTTACATTAATAAAGTAATTGAAATAGTTACAACCCTTATTACATTTTAAATAGGGTAACTTCTAATCTGTAACCTATTACATTTCCAAAGTAACCTTCCCAACACTGTGTATATGTATATGTAGTTTTGTGTTTTTATGCTTAACACTAAATCTATTCTAAGGTTCGAGTTCATTTGAGTCTCAGAAGATGGAGCGGCCCTCCATATCCATCACGTCTCCCATGAGCCACGGAGTGCTGCGGGATGGCCCACAGTACTTATCGGGACAGCTTACAGTAAGTTCACAATAATCACATCCTGTGCAGGGGACAAAATTTGTTTTGCATTATAGAAAGTTAAAACTTAGTCTTTTCCCCATGTCAAATAAGGATTCATATCAGAAACAAGTTTAATTGCAACTGTAAAATTTAGGTCGGTACGTATTTTGATGAAGAGTAGCTATAAAGTTTGCCAAAAACTAGTGGTTTTCAGGCTTGTGCAACTCAACTACGTTTCCCATCATTCTTTGACATCACAATAATGAAAAATACATAGATAAAACATTGCTTACACATGTAATTTGCGTCATTTGTGCTTTAATTGCTGTACAACCATCAACAAAACTTCATCAGGAAGCGAAAGGGGTGAAAAAAGGGGTGACAAATGTTTGAAATTCCACAACTTTTCCGTTTCATTCTGACTAAAATCACTTAAACCACTTTAAACAGAGATAAAGCGTTGGATCAGTGATCAGGCAAAGCTGCCGTAGCCTTCTCAAACCTGATCAGGTTACAGTCAGGCCTCATGCAGCCCAATGTGTGTGTGTAAAAATACCCAGCATGCTTGTAGAACATGACAAACTCTGGTGTAAAGTGCACAAGCTGGTTGATTGAAGCAAAACAAATGAAGTGCAGGTTTTTCCCTATGGATGAAAAAATCAATGACTTCCACGAATGGTTGACCAAAATGGGTTTTCCAGTGGCTGATACCGATATCTAGAAAGCAGGGTGGCTAATGATAGATGGATAGAGGATAGATAGATGGATTGATGGATGGATGGATAGTTTTGGGTAGACAGTTAAACAAATTAATAGACATGAATGGATGGATGGATGGGTAGTTTTGGGTAGGCAGTTAGACAAATGAATAGACATGAATGAATGGATGGATGGGTAGTTTTGGGTAGACAGACAAATGAATAGACATGGATGAATGGATGGATGGGTAGTTTTGGGTAGACAGACAAATGAATAGACATGGATGAATGGATGGATGGGTAGTTTTGGGTAGACAGACAAATGAATAGACATGGATGGGTAGTTTTGGGTCAATGCCACTAATCTCAAAATGAATGGTGTATTATTAAGATTAATAAAAATGTGTTCTTGTTCTGTATCTCACTGAATTCAATCATTGCTAATACTCTATGGTGTGTACGCGTGTGTTTGTGTGTTAAATAACAATCTTGTTACTTTGTATTTTGCTGAATGGGAGATTCAATGTAAACAGTGATGTTTCTTGTGAAGAGATGCCCATTGAGATTTTTTAGTAGAAAAGACATGACATTTCAGTTTTTTCATGGAACTAAAGAAACCGTTTCGAGGGTTGTGGGCCTCACTTGGGGAAACGCTGCTCTAGAAAATGCACAGGAAATATTCAGTCCTTAAATGAGTCCTGAGCATTAAACCTAATCACTGATTTCCCAATCTCTGAACAAGAGATTGCAGTTAATTGCATTACAGTGAAAATAGTAAATGAAATCAAAATATTACAATGCAGTATCTTCAAATGTCTGACAGTCATTGTCTTTAGATTGAATCTCCTTTTGACTTTCTTTGTGTTTCATTAACAACTGGTATTGTCATTTCAGGTTAGTTTTATTGCATTTCTCTTCATTGTTGTTTTTCATTCACTTTACTTACCCAGAGCCAAAGCCTTAGTAGAAGAATTGAGCCTTTTAACCCTAAAGTTCAGGTAATCGTTGCTGTCTACTAAATACAATTATCTTCTATTGCTTTAATTCATTGGATAATGCACAGTTGAAAAATGACTGCATTTCCAGCTATTTATTATCTCAGTTTGCGCTTTCGAAGAGCTCTTTACCTATTCATTGTTATTGCTGTTTTAACCCTTGTGCGACCTTTTGGACATTTTTGTCCTTTTCAGTTTTATTTTTTATTTTTTTATAATTTTGCCTGTGTTATTGCCAACTGCATACATTTAGGCACAGGTGTGTGTTTTTATTGGAATTTTACTATTTCACTTCCATTTCCTTTAATAAATCTGTTTTGCACTAGGTACAAAAAATTGTTAAGGACAAAAATGTCCCCATTGAAACCTATTAAAACTGCTATTTTTAATCGCAGTGCCATTTAACTGTAAAATTTTGCAATTTTTGTTGATAGGCTTTCATTATATTGGCAAGGCTTTAGAATTAAATTTTATACTATTTTTTTCCCAGATGGTGCCATTTTTTCAGGTTTGACCTATAAAGAAAATAATCACTTTATTTCTGTTTTCTGCTTCTGCATATTATAGAGCCAATTGGATAAATAAAGCAGCTATAATCGTGTGGGTGTGTTGGTATGGATGTCAGAGTGTGGTTTGTATGTGTGTCATAAAAAAAAAATTGTGTGTGTTCTTGTAATATTTGAGAGAGAAAAACTCTACTGCAAATCACAAATCCAACCACTGTGTGCACCAGCAGAGTTTTGCTGGCATCTAATGGGGAAAATTTGGTCCTGCGCCCAAACAAACTTTTACTGAAAGCTCATTTTTTGAGATATCAGCCTCAAATTTGGAATACAACTTGTTTAGATTTATGGCTTTGATTTTCTAGCAGGTATAGAGTTCAACATGTTTCATAAAATATATATTTTATATAAAACATCGTTCATAAATCATTTTCATGAACCTAAACATCTAGAACTTTTTACACCTTTTTTACTTCAACAATAATCTGCCATGGGTCTTCTTTAAAATGAGACCAAACTTAACTTTGTGCTCCCAAGCTTCAAATTTTGTATGACAGTTTTTTGACATGGACATTTTTGTCCACTATGGACCTATGTGTAACTTTTTTTAATTGCACAAGGGTTAAGCACAAGGGTTAAGCATATTTTATCTGATTGTATAGCATAAATCATATGCATGCAATGACTTAGCACAAAAATATTTTAAGAGACCAGTGTTGGCAGATGTGGAGTAATGAGCCTGTGAGATGTTCACCTGCGGCATTAACCCTGGAAGGGAGTACTGTGTCTCTTTAAATGTTTTAGTGATGCAGAGTTTGTCGGGACATAACATTTGATTCTTTTTCCATGTAACATGAAACTGCATTGAATCCTGATACTCATCTATACCGTTTTAGAAAACTGATTCAGTGTGCTTAATTATTTTGGAGATTCATTCATTTGCTGACTGATTCGAAAACTGTACTTCACATTTGTAATTATACTAATCATGCTAAAAACATTTTTGTTGGGCACTAACATTGCTGGAAGTTTCATGTTGCTGTTAAAAGGATATGTTAAAGATGCTGTACGTTATTGTATGCATAAAACATCACTGCTACATGATGTACATTACTAAAATAGGTGTCCTAAAAAAAAAAGCATAAATGCCTCTGTCACTGAAAAAAAATTTTTTTTAGCCTGTCATAAATCTAGCCAATCAGAAAGGCTGTCTGCCTCTCAATCATTTTGACATCAAGCTGGCTGGCATGGTTTTGGAGAATGGAATTGGATAAAGGGCTATTTCAGTTTATAAGTCTAGCTCAAGTTTGCAAAATGTCTAACATGATTTTACGGCACCTTTAACAGTCCCTGTTTTACTGGTTTTATTGATTTTCTCACGTGCAGAGATGTGTGAAATAAGCAAATTGTACCCACTTGTACCTGAAGAAACATGGTGTGAATGATTTTAATGTTGTTTATAGCAAAAACTCAGGGCAAAAAACCAAACAATGCATTGTTAATGTTAACATTATACCAATAGCTACACATTTCAGACGTTTTCCCTCAGCAATATTTCAGATTTTCTATTTTGGACAACATTATCGTCCTTAATGCACAGCAACCGCTGGTTCTGTTGGGGATTGTTTAATTGTACAATTTGTTTGACCCAGCTCTCCTTTGCCTTGTTTTTTTTTTTTTTTTTTACTTAAAGTATGGAACGTCCTTCATTGCATGTTTTAGACAGCCTGTTTGTAGGCAGCCTGAGACATTTGTAGGCATTTGTAGGCATTTACTTTACAGAAAGTTATTTTGCTATTACTACAAGCAAGTATGGGCTCTGGCTTAGAAGATCTAGCATTTTATTTGTTAAGTTTGTGTTGTTTCTGTGTGTGTTTGACTTGTAAGTATTTTTCTGTCACGTCCATACTTGTATGAGTACCAAGCTTGGTCTACACTCTAAAAAAATGCTGGGTTAAAAAGGGACAAACCCAGCTATTGGGTTGTTTTGACCCAGCGGTTGGGTTCAAAACATCCCAACCGCTGGGTCAAAACAACCCAATAGCTGGGTTTGTCCCTTTTTAACCCAGCGCTGGGTTATATTTAACCCAGCATTTTTTAGATTGTATCATCTTAGCATGTGCAATACTACAATACAATCAAACTCTCTTTTCTTAATGTGTTTAAATGAAGCAGCTTATGATGCGAAGTCTGAGAAGTCCCTTTTCTTCTCAAACAGGCTCTGATGTTTGTCCCCCTGCAGGTCAAACTTTGGTATGACAAAGTCGGCCATCAGCTAATCGTCACCATACTGGGTGCAAAGGACCTGCCTTCAAGGGAAGACGGCCGACCGCTCAATCCTTACGTGAAGATCTACTTCCTCCCTGACAGAAGGTGAGATTGGGGCAGTTACTTTTATGCCACTGTGCAAGACAAAACAAACAAAAAATTGGTATGGCCATGTTCAGAATGGCATACTACCTTATTAATCACACTATTTTTGCCATATGTGATATGTATATTGTGCACAGTATGCAGTATGCATACTTATTTGCCAAAAATGTTCAAAAGAGTACACTGAAATACCAGTATAATGTTAGTATTATTTACAGTATATTCTGTTACACTTGTTATTAATAATTTGAATTAGATTTTTAAAATATATTTTCAATTTTCATTTTAATTTGTTTATTTATTTTTATTGTTATGTGTCTTTGTAATTTTTTTCATTTATTTTTTTTTAAAATAAAAATATTAATATTTAGGTTTTATTTATTAATTTATTTGTATGAGTTTTTATTTATTTAACTTAAAATTTCAGTTAGTTGCTAAGGCAACATTTCTCATTTTTGTTTAATTTTTCATCTAGTATTTATATGTTATTTGATTTCAGCTTTATTTCAATCAATAAAAACAGTAACAGTTAACCGTAATAATCCTATGGGATGCTAAGTCCCACAATGCAATTCAATCAATTTGAAACTTTATTATTTTTTTTACTTATATGATTGTACTTCCAAGATTTCAGACACAGATTTTAATACAAAACTGGATAAAAATGCAGTTAAAATAACAGATGGCTACTGAATGCCACTCACTGAATTAAACATTGAACATAGCGTGGTAATGTGGCAACAATGTTGCATACTGCTTTTGAAAAAGTTTATCGTTGCATATGTCCCATTTCAGAAATTGAGTAAGTAGATCTTTCGTGTCCCGCTTGTCATTCCCACATTCCCATGGCATTCTTCACCTTGCTGATATCAGTGTTTGTTCCAAGGTTCTTTTACCATGATGGTAAATAAAAACAGTTTGAATCATTGTTTCTCCAGTGACAAAAGCAAAAGAAGAACAAAAACAGTAAAGAAATCACTAGAGCCCAAATGGAACCAGACCTTTATGTATTCCCCCGTCCACCGGCGGGAGTTCAGGGAACGCATGCTGGAGATCACGCTGTGGGACCAGGCCCGGGTGCGAGAGGAGGAGAGTGAGTTCTTGGGAGAGGTGAGGTCAAGATGAATCATGGTCTCAAATATTTAGAGGTTTCGGCGGCTTCTACCACTTTATCGCTGCAAAAATAGATCTGACTAGTGACAGTTTGCATCACAAAAATGTTTGCTTAACAATAGTAATACTAATCATCAGAATACTTTTTTGTCATAATATATTTTTAATGCATATGTGTTATTGTTGTAGTCTAATGATGATTTAGTAATGGATCTACAATATTAAGTTGTTAAAGCTGTTGTTGAACCATGCAGAGTCGCATTACAAATCTCACATTTAGAGTTTCAGTGACATGCACTGAATTTGTATATGGGATCAACTGGATATGCTGTCACACATTTGAATGTGAAGCAAACGTTTGTGTGTAGATCCTCATAGAGCTGGAAACAGCGCTGCTGGATGATGAGCCGCACTGGTATAAGCTACAAACACATGATGTCTCTTCGGTACCCCTACCGAAGAGCTCCCCCTGCCTCCAGAGACGAGCGCTGCATGGAGACAGTCCCACACGCAGACTGCAGAGTATGTCTCTCTCTCTCTATCTCCCTCTCGGTCTCACTCGCCGATATCTTTTATGCACACAAAGCAGAAGCATATAAGAGAAAATTTCAGATAAATGTACTGCTCATATATAACCGTGAAGCATTTTTGTATATAATAATATCTGCTTGTACTGCACAATGTGGCTTTTCCTGTCACATAACAAAACTAAGCATCTTTTCTAAAGTCTTATTCCATTAATGTACTCTACAGTTGTATGCAAGCGCAAATGCTTGATAAAATTACCTTCAAATGTCTTTCATTAAACTGGATATGTTATTTGGGCAGTATGCTGAATATTCACAATATATTCCTGATAATTTTGATGGTGATTAAGCAAAGTTGCAAGTATTGCGAGTATAGGAATAGTTCACTCAAAAATGTTGTGTATTGCATTACTTACTCACCAATGCATCCTCTGCAGTGAATGGGTGCCGCCAGAATGAGAGAACACCTATATGATGGATTTGTTTATTATAAACATGCAGTTTTTCACTTCATAAGATGTTAATTGATGGACTGGACTCAATTGGTGTCAGTTACTTGTGGATTTTTGTGATGTTTTTATCAGCTGTTTTGGGTTCTCATTCTGACGGCACCCATTCACTGCAGAGGATCCATTGGTCAGCAAGTAATGTAATGCTACATTTTTCCAAATCTGTTCCAATGAAGAAACTAGAAAGAAAGACAATTTTCTGCAAATTTTAAGGTTTTGGGTGAACTATTTCTTTAGTGATTTAAAAAAAAAATTCACTAGTTTGCCTAAAGACCATGTGATTAATTTTGCGATCCTTCCTTCCTTTGAACTTGTATGACAACATTTAGACAAAAATGTTGTAAAAATATATATATGATTTGAACTTCAGTAGCAAAAACTGGAAAATTTCAGAATGAAAAAACCTGTGTTTCTAAAAGCACTTTGTGTATACTGTACATGTTTGCATAGAGTACTTTGTTTCGGGCCTAACACCACACACATTCATAAGCGCTCAGTGATCTAAACTGAAATCTGAAACACTGCAGCTGTTGGTATGAGCGTTTGTGTCCTGCATTCATTGTTTTCTATCTTGACCTGGTTATTTCTGCAGCCAAAGGCCCGTTTGTGTACAGCTCAGGTAATGACCGCTGCATGCTCAGGCTGATCCTCTAGGTTTCACCGTGTGTTTTTATACTGGATCCACCCTGCTGTCCCTCTTACTCCCATCAAAAACAAAACAAACACTGTCTGAAGTGGACCATGTCCTCACACCGCCACATTTTCCCATAGTGCCCTCTGATTCTCCCCAGTGCTGCTGTTTTCCCCTCCTTATTGTAGATAAGCCCGATCTCTTCATATATTCTATAGTGAACACAGGCTTCTGTCTACTGTTATGGCTGGATGGTATGAGCAAAAATCATACGCAACAATCATTTTACATTATGGTAATGGTCACAGCATATGAGTAAAAAAAACCAAAAACGAACTAAAAGTACAGTTCAAAAAGTTGTGGTCGGTAAGATTTTTTTAATGTTCCTGAAAGAAGCCTCTTATGCTCACCAAGGCTACATTTATTTGATCAAAAAGAAAGTAAAAGCTGTAATATTATGAAACATTATTATAATGTAATAAACATATTTATATAATAATGTTTTCTATTTATTCCTGTGATCAAAGCTTAATTTGAGCATTATTACTTCATTCTTCAGTGTCACATGATCCTTCAGAAATCATTCTAATATGCTGATCAAGAAACATTTATTTTTATTATGTTGAAAACAGTTGTGCTGGTTAATATTTTTATGAAAAGTGATACTCTTTTTTCAGGATTTCTTGATGAATAGAAAGAGAGAGAAAAATATTTTGTAACGATGTAAAGTTTTTACTGTCACTTTTGATCAGTTTAATTAATTCCTGCTGAATAAATAAATAAATAAATAAATAAACTCACTGACCTCAGACTTTTGAACAAAAGAGTTTATTCATTAATCATGTTTTTTTTTTGGCATTTTTATTATTTGGAATTTGATGGACGCAAATAAAAATGATTCACTACAAATGAATACTATTATCTGTTTATTTCTTATAATTGCAATTTTATTTCTCTTAACAGCAAATTTATATCTCATAAAATATATATAATTATATCTCACAATGTGACTATTTCCTTTTTTTAAACTTTATCTCACAAATGCTTAAACAGGCACATCAGACGGTAAAAACTTATTTCTTTTGTCACTCATTTTGTCAACGTGTGTTTGTCAGTTGTGGTTAATTAGGAGTTCTGTTCCAAAATGTAGTATATTTATATATATTTATTTATTTAATTTTTTCACATCAGCTTTACAGTTACCAAAATTTTATTTTTCTTATAATATTATAATTATAATATATATATACAGTTTATTTATTTATTTTTATTATTATTTATACTCTAATATATACAGTATCTCACAGCAGTGAGTACACCCCTCACATTTTTGTAAATATTTTATTAAAATAACTCAACACACAGCCATTAATGTCTAAACCGCTGGCCACAAAAGTGAGTACACCCCAAAGTGAAAATGTCCAAA